CTGAGCCGTGTTCAGAGTGAGCAGGGCCTGGTGTGTTCCAGTGGGTAATGCTTCTTCTCTTGTTCTCAGGTATCCTGGCATCTCTCTGCGGTGGCCTTGTTATGCTTCTGCCGGAAACCAAGGGTATTGCTTTACCAGAGACTGTAGATGATGTAGAAAAACTTGGCAGGTACTGTATGGACGCCAACGCACCCTAAACAAAACCACTGGGATAATATAAAGATAGTAGCGTATCCATGAGGGGGAGGAGATAACATGAAATTCCCATCTCACTCACATCCTAAAAACAACAACAAAAATCCAAGTAGATTAAACGTTAATGTAAAGCTAAACAAAACAAAAATGATGGAATGTAAATATGAGACTGCACAGGACAAGATGTGAAATAATTACTGATCCCCTCTAGGAATCGAAATGAGTGGGCAGTAATAATATATAGACTTCTGTATTCTTGGATTTTATAAAAGATTAGAACACACAGCCTCATATCATGTGTATATTCTTAAGAAATGTTAACAGCTAATTATAAAAACTAAAACCAGTCTTCTTCTTAGAAGAAATGAAAGATACGGTCTTTTGAATACAAATTAAAAAAAATATCTGTGCCAAAGATATCTATACAATGGCCGATGTTCCTCCTTTTGTTTCCACTTCATTTACTGCTGTTTAAATTACTGAGTGATGTTCTCATTCTCAGTCCCCAAGTTGGCCAGGAGGCAGATGCTCAAACTCATCAGGAAAAAGTGGAAGGAAGGAGACCATTTGAGATCAGAACTTTTGTTAGCCCAGTCGTTGAAGTTAGAACGAAAACTAGAAGACCTGAGGTTTTGAAGAGAGTATCTAAATAATGTGCAGGGGAAAATTAATACTCAACCAGTATACAAACCAAAGTATAATTACCAAAAAAGTCCAAGTTATAGAAATTGGTTCTAACTTATACTCTGTTTGTAATTTTCCTTCTAAAAAAACTGGGTAAATTGATAGTGCCTGGTTTCTACATTTAAAACACTAGTGTAAATATAATTGACACTTTGACATGTTAAGCATGTTAATGTCTTTCAATAATTATTTCCCCTGGGAGGAAAAAACATAGCTTCTTCTCAAATTACTATAGCCTGTTGACATTTTATTTTTATGACTGTACTGAATTATTACATTATTTCTGCTACCCCCGTCCATGTCAACAACTCCTCTTCTAAACCATATGTTGTTGCTGTTAAGTGTTACCGAGTTGGGTTCAACTTATAGCAACCCTGTATAGGATTTCAGAGGCTATAATTCTTTGTACGAGCAGAAAACCTCATCTTTCCCTTGCAGAGTGGCTGGTGGGCTAGAACCGCTGACCTTATGGTTAGCAGCTCACTACTTATCCTATAAAGCCACAGTACTTCCAAATTATATATTGTTGTTAAGTGCCATCAAGTCAATTCCGATTCATAGCAACACTGTATAGAGTTACTGAGGAGTGGCTGGTGAGATTTGAACTGCTGACCTTGTGGTTCAAACCGACCTTGCAGTCCAGTGCATTATCTTGCAGCACCATACCAGGCTACATAGTAGAAATTCATAAAGAACTTATATGCTAGGATTCTAATTTAACATCTCTGTGGGAGAAAGATGAGGCTTTCTGCTCCCACAAAGATTTAAAGCCTCAGAAACCCTATTCAGGGTCACTTTGAGTTAGAACTGACTTTCCAGTGCTTAACAACAGTAGCAAAGGAGGAGTCCCTGTGTGGATGGTTATAACACCCAACTGCTAACCAAAAGGTTGAAGGTTCAAATCCACCCAGAGATTCCTCAGAAGAAAGAAACTATGAGGGACTTCAAAAAGTTCATGGGGAAAAAAAACTTCCATTCCATTTTTTCATTAGCTTCTTGAAGTTTCTTTGTACTTTTACAAAGAAACCCACCATTGGAACCCTGATGGGGCATAGTTCTTCTCCAACACACGCCAGGCCACCTTGAGTCAGAGTCAACTCAACAACAACTTTTCTTTTTGCAACTCTATGAAAATATATCCAAAATGAACTTGAAGATGATTAAATATTTCTAGTCCCAAATTTGTTCGAGTTGGGTTTTGTACGAGGAGCCATATACTGTAGGATAAGCTAACCACAAGGTCAGCGTATAAACCCACCAGCCACTCCTCAGAAACTCTATACAGGGTCACTGTGAGTGGGAACTGACATGACAGCCCTTAACAACAACAACAACACACATGAGTGAGGAACCCTGGTGCCTCAGGGGTTAAGTGCTTGACGGCTGACTGAAAAAGTCAGAGGTTTGAACCCACTGGTCACTCTGAGGGGAAAAGCTATGACAATCTGCTTCCGGGTAGATGGCAGCTTTGAAACCCTAGAGGACTGTTCTGTCCTGTCCTACAGGGTCGTCATGAGTCACAATCAGTTGGCCAGCAATGGTTGGTTTGCTTTCTGTATGAGGGTATTTGATGAGAACCCAGTCTGTCACTGAGCTTTCTTCAAAGTCACTGGTAAGGACGTTCTCTTCTCTCCTTTATCTTGACAGTCCATATTCCTATACGTGCGGCAGGAAAAAGAAAAGCCAAGTCTCACGCTCTCACCTTTGAGGCCCCTGCCAAAGATGGGGGGAAGGAACTCTTGAGACAGACACTCCCTGGAAAGATGTGCCTTGCAGAGATGCATTCATCCACGTCAGCTGCAGCTCCATGCAGTCCAAGTGCCTTTGCAAATGTTCCCATGTATTTTTTGATACCACGTTGGATGACTTCTGATGTATAATGATATGGGACTTTATGAGAACACCTTCTAAGTGGCTGGTTTGAGGGCACCTATAAAATTAGGTTTGTCCCGAGCCTATCTTTGGAGCAGAGGTTTCTGCTGCCTCGTTGGCTTAAGGAGAAACAAGAAAAACACACCTTCACTTCTCATGCACCCCGACCCCCAATTCTCATGCCAGCTCATCAGAAAAACAGAATATGCAAACTGAGGACCTGGGGAAGGTGAACATGAACTTGTGTTCATCAGATCTGATCAAGGGTTAAGGCTCTACATAGAATCTTCTGAAGGTTCCATGGAGGATGAGGAGGCAGAAATCCTGCCAAAGCAAAGAAGAGATGGAATCTAAGTACCTTGGACCGCACAGTGGCCCAGCTGAGCTTTGTTTTCTCTTCTTCCCTAAATTCTGTAGTTTCTACATCATTAGATCATCTTCCTTCTCTTCCACCTTCTAATGCAATCCCAGGGGTTCTAGGCATAGGTTAGCCATTGCTCCATCAGTAAAACGAAATTGGGCAGTGTGAAGATTGGCTCTGTTCTTGATAACCAATTTAGTATAGCTGTTGTCCTCCTTTAGTGGACACATAGAGCCATGTCTCAGTATCTTACTGAACAAAACCCATGGATGATGATCCCATGGGTCTTAAGATTTTAACAGCAAAGAGATATTTATCTAGTCTTTATAAATTCTCTTCTCTGATTGTGCCCGTGGCCAAAAGCAGATCCCAGACAGTTCCCACTCAGTCCTTGAATGTATGACCTGACTTGGAGAGAAGCTTACATTTTAATTTAAAGAATTAAAAGGTCAATGATAGCCATGCTTAAAGTAATCAGCAGCAGCTTTATCTATGACGTTATAGACACTAATAAGAGATTTGGTCTTTCTTTTTGTCATTGATGATTTTGGAATGTGAGACTTTAACACAAACATGCTATCTTTTTCCTGGCCTTCTGCCTAGTATGTGATACTTGTTATATTTCCTGACCCAGTGCATATTTTAGGCAGGATGTTTTAGAGGCTGATTGGGTGTGGACAGGCAAAATGGGTACCAAAGGAAAATCCTGCCAACGAGGAAACAAGTTTCTACCTGGGGAACATGTGACAAATATGTATCATGCATGTGTACTAATTATAAAATAAACTTTTGAATCTTGAAAGCACAGGAGAACTGAACATGGAAGTTGTATTTTCCAATGAAATAAACACAGGCTTTGAGGACTTGATGCTGTGTTCACTCTTTATTCACAGACGTTGGCAGTTTTCGTTCTTTGCCTTTCTTACTGCTTCAAGACGATGGTTGCCCTTTGATACTATAACTGTTGAATTGTCTTTTGAGGTGGTATTTTGACTCTAGACACAATTTTTAAAAAATTTAAATGGTCAAGAAAACCCTTAAACATTCTTTGCTTCTGGGATGTGGGATGCTTTAGAATGCTTGTCTGCTTGGACAATGTGTGCTGCCCACTGTTTTATGAGCAGGCAACGGGAAGTAAATAACCAGTCCTCAATATGTGTTCATTGTTCCTTTCCAGGCCTTTGGCACCATTCCTATACTTTAATCTGACCCAGAATAACATCCACACAAATAACCTGGCCTTGCATCATGCCTCCATTGTCTACTTTATTTCCCAATGGACAGCTCTCTGCTCAGTATCCCCTGCACGGGGGCTAATGTCAAGTCCTCAGGGATCATTTCAGACCCAAGAATGGAAGTTGCTGTCGTGTCTCCCCATACATGTTACAGCTTAAACATTCATCTCTATGCCAGTAATAAAGCCACTAAAGGTATTTTTCAGGCCATCTTGAGCTGACAAGGTAAAAGGACAAGATGTCCTCCCAGGGCATCTCAGCTCTCATCTCTGTCATTAAGACGCTTGTTAGTCCTTTGTTGCACCAATCTGATCTTTCATACAAAGAGCCAACACATGGCAGTATGCGAGAGCTATGCTCTTTAAAATCTGTGACGCTAGGGTAGGGAATGAACAAAGAATATGGGAATGGTGACCGCCCATAAAAAGTAACTCAAGTTAAATACAGTTTATTTCAGTAGATGACACACCTGTGTTGCCTTACTAGCAGCCCTTTGGCAGGGAAATTTATCCAGAGTAATATCAGAAAGTGTTGAGGTTTGGCAGCCAGGGCCTTAGTTTGATTTCCATTGATTATTTCTGAGGAAGTTAAATTTCCTAACATGTTCTGATAAGTTTCCAGATAAGTTGATGCTTGCTCTAGCTCCCCTCCAGTTAATTATCTCTCATTACTTCTTCAATCCAAGGCACAAATCTTGAAACACGGACGTAAACGCCAGGCTTATTGGGCTGTGCACAGCCTAGACCCCAGGAAGTCACTCCTTGTAAAATGTATTTGTCCTTCTCAAAGCAAACCAGAGGTCCTCCACTGTCACCCTATAACAGAGGGGGAAGAAAAACATCATGTGAAGGTTCAATCACCACCCTTTGAATATGGAATGTCATCTTCAGTATCCAAATGCAAGACTTCCCAGTACTGGAATGTCTTTTCCAATCAGACAGGAGTAGACCAATGACTGTCCTCAAGTACTTAACTATGCCAGCTAGTTTCACCTGGGAGCAAACGCCCTTGTGAATGTTGCACACATTCCTTCTTTTGTTGGCATTTCTTGTAGGCAGGGCTAACCCCAACCTGGGCATAGAGCACATGCACTCAGTGTTTGTCCTATAGCCCCTTCCACCTTCCCTACTGGAAATGCCACCACCCTCCCTCCAGTCACCAGCACATTCCAGGAGGCATGTGGCCTGTGGTAGGGGCAGAAACCTTACTATCCCTTTCTGATCTGGACCACCATCCTGGTGGCACTGCGGGATAAGCACTAGACGGCTAATCACAAGGCCGGCAGTTCAAATCCACCAGCCACTTCACAGGAGAAAGATGAGGCTGAAATCTTAGGTTTGTTATCAGTCAGAATCAACTCAATGGCAGTAGATTTGGTTATGGAGAACTGCCCATCAGTCAGTTTGTTTTACTGTAGTCAGTTCATGTTCCTGGGAGCTATGCCACCGGCAGTTCAAATACGAGGAGAGTCATCCATGGTGAACACATTTCAGCAGAGTTTCCAGACTAAGAGACCAGGAAGAAAGATCCAACCATCTACTTTTGGAAATTAACCAACGAAAGCTCTAGGGATTAGAACACAGCATTATCCACCACTGTGCTGGAAGATGAGATCTTAGGTTGAAAGGCAACCAAAATGCACACTGGCTTCAACAATGGACTCAAACATACAACACTGGTGACAATGTGGCTGGACTGGGCAGTGTCCATTGTGTTATACAGGGGTCACGAGGAGTCAGAGCCAACTGGATGACAACTAAGAACTGGTCTGGAACTCAAGAGTCAAGGGATCACCTTGATTACTTGAATACGTATTTGGGGCCCCACCTAAAGGGAAATATTCAGACTGTGACCTTTGGCTGGTCGATCCTTCTTGAACTTGACACTTTGAGACCAAGACAGACAAGCACCAGGTCTCCTTCCTCTCTTCTTACCTGGCAGCTGTCCGCACCTCCAGCCAAGAGTCCAGCACAGAGCTCAGAGGACTTCACTCTTCCATTCAGATATTCATAACGATTGCACACTTTATTCTCTATCACAGGTAGCTGGGCTTCCTTGAGAAGACCAGCCCCATAGGTACCTGTGTGTAAAGAGATAAAAGGATATGGTTACTGAACTATACCCAAAACCTGTTCAAAAGGAAACTTCCTGAACAAAGAGCAGCAAATCCCTAACACTGCGTGGGTTCCTTTTTCTTTCTGAGCCTTAGAGTGGTGATGGTGGTGGTGGTGTTTGGTGGTATCAAGTCGGTTCTGACTCATAGTGACCCCATGCACGACAGAACAAAAAACTGCTTGGTCCTGTACCATCCTCACAATCATTGTTAAGCTTGAGAACACTGCGCCAATCCATGTCGTTGGGAGTCCTCCTCTTTTTCAGTGACATGACACTTTATCTAGCATGATGTGCTTCGCCAGGGTCTAGTCCCTCCTGACAACATGTCTGAGTATGAAAGATGATGCATTACCATCCTGGCTTCTAAGAAGCATTCTGGCTGTACTTCTGGCCATAGTACTTTTAATATTTTTCTCCAACACCGTAACTCAGATGCATCAGTTCTTCTACAGTCTTCCCTATTCATTGTCCAACTTTCACATGCGTATGAGGCTATTGAAAATACCATGACTTGGGTGAGGGGCACGTTAGTCCTTAAGCTGACATCTTTGCTCTTGAACACTTTAAAGAGGTCTTGTGCTTAGAGTGTCCATGTTAGATAAGAGTTTATGTTTCCGTAGGGCAGAATTTAACAATGGATTTCTTTATAGTATTTTCTTTCTTATTGTTTTTGCTTTTTATTTGATTTTTTGCTTTTCTTAAAAAACTATAAATAAGTCATTTTTAATATATAAAGGAAGCTTGGAAAACACAGCTGTCGGTATGCTTATAGATTCTCTTTCCGGCTCCTTATATATTTATTTTGTAGCCTATTACCTTCTGATTTTGCCTTATCCTGATTTTTCACTTAACATTTGTCATAAACACTTGTACGTAATGCCACAGTCTTCATAATTAATATTTCAGTGGCCACACAGTAGTTCATGCAGTAGATGTGCATTCTGTGTATTTTAAAAGAACAGGTATCAAAATGTGGTATATCTGTACAATGGAATACTCTTCAGCCATAAAAGGAAGGCAGTTCTGATACACACTATATGTCATTGCTACATGGATGAGCAAGCACTGAAAATCTTATTAACTGAAACAAGCCAGGCACAAAGAGACAAATATCTTCTGATTCCACATGTCTGATATATCCCAAATTGGCCAATCCATAGAGACAGAAAGCAGATTCATGCTTGCCAGAGTCTTGGGCAGAGAGAGTGGGGGAGAAACTGCTTAAGGGGTGTCCTGGCTTTCCGTTGGGGATGAGAAAACTTCCAGATGATTGCACAACATTGTGGATATACTAAAAATCAATATATCATTGAAATGGTTTAAATGGTAAGTTATGTGTTCTGTATCTTTTATCATAATGATAGAGTATTATTTCCTGAGAATTCATCTTTTCAGGCACAAGTTCATCATATTGTCTATCTAATTTAATCCTCACAACAGTCCCATCAGGTAGGTACTTTGACCTTTATTGCTTCCCATTTCATGTAAGAAAACTGAAGCTTACGTGATTTGCTCAAGATCACCCAGCAAGGACGTGGTCGACTGGGATTTGAATGTAGGTTTGAGACATCGTTGACTAAATCCTTCCTGCAGGTGTTCTTTGCCTCTAGCATTCTGGCATTCCCCATCTTCTTGCATATGGTTTATTCCTGAAGATTTTCTTAAGACTGTTGTAGGTACATATTGCCAAGTTGTTGTTCTAGTCACACTAGCCCCGTGTTGACAGAGTAGGACTATCCTATAGGGCTTCCTAGGCTGCCATCTTTATAGAAGCCAATGGTCAGATTTTTCTTCCTCGGTGGTCCTGGATAGGTTCAAACCTTTCGGTGAGTACATAAACCACTCAACCACTGTACCACCCAACTCCTAGAAATTATATAGACATATTTATGACTATATAGTAACATTGCCAAATGATTTTCTAAAAGGACGTGCCAGTATCAACTGTCATTTGTAAATATCTTTTGGCCAAACCCTTATGATTGTTTAATTTTTTTTTTTAATGTGCTATTCAAGTAGGTGGAAATAGTCCTCATTCTGTTTTTTAAATTTGCATTTCTTTGATAATTAGAGTGAAGATTTTCCTGAGTGTTTGTTTGATTAGTTGTATTTCTTTCTTTCTTTCTCTCTTTCTTTCTCTCTCTTTCTCTCTCTCTCTCTCTCTCTCTCTCTCTCTCTCTCTCTCTCTCTCTCTTTCCTTTTTTCAGGCCATACTGAAATAACACATTTGCAAAATCGCCAGAAGAAATACTGTTTTCTATATGTACACACTCAGGGTGTCTCCAGGTTTTTGCAAAGAATCCAGTTTCGTAAGCTCAGCCATCACCAGAGTTTTGTAGAACCTGGTTTGTTAGTATCAAACAGCCAAGGAAATAAGGTTCTGTCTCTTCTACAAAGACTGAATAAATTGAGCAGATTTTCACAGCATGGCTGGAGTTTACATGAGCATTTAAGAGGACCACACATTGGCAGGAAGGTTGGTCTTCAATGTAGAACTTGGAGCTCTTTGGGCAGAGTCACCCAGAAGGAGGCCCTGACAACAGACGTGATCTGTATGGAGGAACGGGCTCGAACTGAGTCAATATGAGGAAGCAGTAGCCTTCTCAGGTTGTTCGCTGAAAATTAATGAACAAAGCATCACCACCGTTTTATCTGTTTCTGAGCAAGATGAACATTCTGGGACTAGCAGATAGTCAGCTGCTATTTTAAGGAAAGCAGATGTCTCTGGAGTAACTGATTAAGTGCTCAGCTGAAAACAGAAAGACGAGAGGTTTGAGGCCACCTAGAGGCACCTCAAAAGAAAGGCATAGTAATCTACTTCTGAAAACTCACTCCGTGAAATCCTATGGAACATACCTACAAATATATAAAGATTTGAAAGAGAATATTTGTACATGGATATTGACCCTTTTTTGCAAACACAATTATGGATATGGTGGAACACACAGGGGGCACAATGATGAAACCTTCTGAGATCTTACCAAACATCTTAAGGCAATGAGTTGCTAGACCTGGGGGGTTCAAAGCCATAGTCTCAGAGGACACCGTGGTCAATTGGCATAACATACTCCACAAAGACACTGTTCTACATCCTACTTCGGTGAATAGCATCTGAGAGCTTAAAAACACATGAGTGACCATCTAAGGTGGAACTATTGGTCTCTCCATGTGCAGAAGAAAGATGAGTGATGAGAACTGAAGATTCTTGGAATTAATTAGTCCAATGGACTAATGGAACATATGAACATCGGTCTACACGACTCTGAGACCAGAAGAATTAGATAGTGCCCGATGACTACTATCAACTGCTCTGAAATGGATCACAGTAGAAGGTTCCAGAGAGGCTGGAGAAAAGGTGAAACAAAATTCAAAATTATAAAAGGAAGACTGGTGTACTGGTCAGAAAGAGACTGGAGGAACCTGAGACTATGACCCTCCACGACCCTTCATATCTGGAAAGGATCTCACTTTGGTGGCTCAGTTTTCAGCACAGCAAGAGATAGGTTTATAGAGGGGACAACAACACAAGTAAGGTATGTTCACCATCAAGTGGTCATTCACTCCAAATCAAAAGGGCAACAATTGCCTAAGGACAAAATTGAGAAGGGGTGGAAAGGTGGGCTAAATGAAAATGGGGACCACAGGAAGAAAGCGGGATAACCATTGTTGCCTGGTGGTGGTGTGCTGTCGAATAGCTTCTGACTCACAGAGACCCAGTATAGTGTTTTCAAGGCTGTGACTCTTTGTTGTTGTTGTTGTTAAGTGAAGTCGAGTCAATTCCGACCCATAGCGACCCTGTATAGGGTTTCCAAGGAGCAGCTGGTGAACTTGAACCACCAATCTTCACAGGAGCAGAAAGCCTTATGTTTCTCCAGTAGAGTGGCTGGTAGATTCAAACTTCTGACCTTTTGGTTAGGTGACTAACACGTAACCACTACGCTACCAGGGATCCTGGATTGTAATCACTGAGATTAGACAAAGTGTATTTGGTGAATGTAAAACTGATGGTCTTGCCTGTAAACCTTCACTCAATTCACAATAAAAGTTTTGAAAGGAAGGAAGAAAGAAAGAGAGAGAGAAGAAAGAAAGAGAGAGAGGAAGAGAGGGAGAGAGGGAGGAAGGAAGGAAAGAAGGGAGAAAGGAAGAAAGAAAGCCTGTGGAGTATAGTTCTACTCTGAGCCACATGGGGTCGCCAAACTGGACAGAGTTGATGAACAGCAACTGATTGGATGTGGTTGATGAGGAGATACTGCCATCTGGTGGCTATGATACAGACAGCATTGTTGGAGGTACAGGGCAAGTGCTGGGGTCAGAGACTCCACATAGGAGATTGACCAGGAGGAACTCAGCCTCAACACTTGCCTCGCGTTTGAAATATCAAAGTCAGGCAAAGCTTTTGGAAACATGTAAAGAGAATTTTGAGAACATCAGAATTTTGACCTGACAAAATTCTGAAAAGCTGAAGACACTGATGTATTCTATATCGTTATCTACATGTGAAATGCTAGTAATCAGGTGGGAGTTATTTGTGAATTCTGGGCCCAAATGATAGTCTGAAAATCATTTTCTTGGTAGACAAGTGATGAGACCCAGAGAGATGGCCAGAGCTCAGTGTGGAGTGTAGGGGTAGGGGGGAAAGTCAACAAGATATTGTCATTTTTCTAAGTACCTACTAAGCTAGGAGTCCTGGTGTGGCACTGCAGAATAATGCACTGGACCACAAGGTCTGGTTGAACTGCAAGGTTGGCAGTTCAAACCCATCAGCCGCTCCTTGATGGCCCTACACAGGATGGTGGCCCTACACAGGATGGTTATGAGTCAGAACCGACTCGATGGCACTTAACAACACAGCTAAGCTAATAAGTAGTAGAATGGAGATTCCAACTCTGGTCCCTTCACTGAGCCATGTTACACCTCTCATTAATCACCTCCTTTGTTGTTTGTTGAGGTTGTCAAGTGCCACCAAGTTAATGCCTACTCATAGAAACCCTCTGTAGAGTCTCCAAGGTAACCTTGTAGTCCAGGGCCATTCACCCTCTTTAGGAGTAATCATATCAACCTCGTGTGGGTTGTGATGTTCATATTTAAGATGCAAAACTCTGGGAACAGGCCTGCACATATACAGGTGAGCTTCACTGGCTTTGATTTCATGTTGTCAAATGGCCTTATCCTTCCCTCCCTACATACTTATTTGGAAGAGCAGGGAGGGTACCCATGTGCAGTCAGGAGGGTGAAATTTAAAAATGGACTTAGCAGTAAGAGGGCTACTACCTCCTCGATCACTGAGTTTTACCTGTCGTTCTTTCTTGTTTTTTTAGATGCAAAACCTGTCTTCAACTGCAAGCTTATGTTAAAGGCTAATGTGTTAACCATGATTTTACAGTGACCTTATGGAGCTTAGACACTCAACTAGCACACAAAGGGGTGAAGTGACCTGTCTGGTTTGCCCCACTAGTGTGTAACCAGACCTCTTACCAGGTCCCTGACTCCATTCCCAGCACTTGTGAGAAAGCTGAAGTGGAGCTCCTGAGACATTGCCCAATGTTCCTATGACTAAGGGTCCACCTCTAATGGAGATGGTCAATATCAGGGCATATGGCAAAGACCAGAGCCCCACAGGTTCCTGCTGGATTCTACATAAACACCGCTTTGCTCATCCTGCACCCATGACCAATGCCAGGTGTCACCCAAGAACTGAGGTGTTCAAGGACCATTCTGTCTATTCCCAGATGTCTTTCTCTCATCTCCCTAACAGCCTCTCCACGAACTCACCAGAAGAAGGTTAGTCTAACTATCATCTTGGTTGTTCGTGTTTTACACCATGTTGGGAACCTGGTACGGGTAGCTTCAAATGAAAAATAACATAACACTCCTAATTTTGGGGAGTCCTCGTGTGGCACTGTAGGCTCAGCACAGGACTGTGAAACCACAAAGTTGACGGTTCCAACTCACCCGCAGCTCCTTGGAAACCCTATACAGAATTGCTGAGTCTGAACTGACTCCATGGCATTTAAGAACAATCTGTGGCATGTGCCCAAACCCTGTTTACCTGGGAAACAATAGTAAAGTTAAAGTTGTGGGCTGAGAGACTCCAAGGAGCTCTCTCCTTTTCCAGCATGTCACCCATTGACTGATTATGAAGCCACAGGAAGGGGCCCAGAGCAGTTAGGAGAGGGTCCTGGCTAGGAAGTTGTGCCGCTCTCATTTTCTCACAAAAGCTGTAGGAAAAGCCAGTCATTGTGTGTGGGTCATGACGTTGGTCTCACCTTTAGTGTCACCCCAGCCAGTGATGTAGCATTCTGTTCGGTCAGCAACCACATAATTTGGGGGCGGCAGACAAGCTGGGATGACTATATCATTGATGATGGCAGGCCTAAAGAGAAAACATCGCAGGTCACATTTAATTTTGATTGCTCTCCAGTCGTCTGCAGTGAGACGCTACCAACTTGAAGGCCAAGTGGCTATTGCCTTGCCTCGCTGACACAGAGCTAGGAAAATAACTTTTCATCCTTGCATTTGCCTATCATGTTTTCTGAAATAAGATACATTTCATTTAAAAGACATCAGTTGTGTTCAGGAAACTGAAGGCTGGTGGTGGTTGCCTCTGGAAGTAAGGATGCCACACACCCTTCTCGTGTGGACGCTCTTCACTACAGGCGATTTTATACCAAGTGTATATTATTATCTTGATTGAAGGGGAAAAGCCCAAAACATCGATCACTAGGTGAACCTTCTAGTGGAAACCCTGTCCAAAGCCAGAGTTGTTGTTGTTGTTGTTGTTGTTGTTATGTGCCGTGGAGTCGGTTCTGACTGATAGTGACCCTGTACAGGATTTCCGAAGCTGTAAATCTTTACAGGAGCAGAAAGCCTCATCTTTCTCCTAAGGAACAGCTGGTAGTTTTAAACTGCTGACCTGAAGGTTGGCAGCCCGATTTGTAACCACTACGCTACCAGAGTAGTAGAAAACATATCATGTAGCCATAAGCAAGTTGCCCCCTCTTTTGGCTCTTTCCTCAGTTTCTGTCTCTGTAAACATCACAATACTATGCCTCTAAGACTCCAATAGAACGTTGTTGTTGTTAAGTTGGTTGTACCATCACGTTGGCTATGAATCAGAGCGACCTTGTATAGGATTTCCAAGAAGTGACTGGTGGGTTTGAACTACCAACTTTGTCATTAGCAGCCCAGTGCTTATCCAACAGTGCCACACCAGGACTCCAAGACTCCAATAGAATCCTGGATATCAAATACAGGATAATTAGAATCAAGAACCATGTGTAAATAAAATGGTATTATTCTCAAAGAATCCTTTTGAATTTCCACATGGCTTAGAGTTCCAGAGGATCTTAAACACTAGGACTCCGATTTTTAGATTTGATTCTACTTGAGTAAATTCCAGGGGAAACCCCACTGGAGATGAGAAATGTCTCATTCTGGGTAAGAATCCACACGGTCACCAACTTCAAGCAGCACCTTCTTAACGATGAAAGTAACCCAAATTTCCTGGGCATCTGTCAGAAACTCACTCCTCTCCACATGAGGAGAATACCTAGTCCTGGGTCAAGTAAGATGAAGCAGCCCTGGCCTGGAATCTGGGTTTCCTGAATTGGAATCCAGAAGTTTCTTTCCAAGAAGGCAATCTCCCTCTCGCACTATGGGCAACCTTCTACTTGCCACAACGCTCTCCTGAAGCTCATACCACTCAGACATAAAAGAAATGCATTCACCCATGTTAGAGTGAAAGCCGTGAGTGAGGTCGTACCTGCTTAGCTTCAGCAAGGCAATATCTGCTCGGGCAGGCTGCACGAACAGCTTAGCAACTTCTATTTCTTGAACATCTGCTTCTAATTTCATTTCTTTGTGTGCACCCAAGATGACCTTGTACGATGATGGTCTGGAAGACCTAGAATAGAGGGTCAAGTTAGGAGGAAACATGGCCCTGCCCTTTCACGGGCACTTTGTCTATGCCACAGAACCGCATCTTCTCCCCTAGATATCCATGACCCAGAATCGGAGACCTCTGAGCAGATTCATGATTCATCCAAAGTTGGCCGCTAATGAAGGTTCTCATTGCTGCTGATGCCAACCCAGAAGTCAGCACAAGGACAGACACCCTTGTCAGGGTACTTGGTGGGCACAGCTGGTCACAGTGAGTGACTCCCTCCTCTTATATCCAGATCTCCAAGGGCACCTGAACAAGGTCTTCTCTTCCTCTCTGGAAACCTTCCCTTCCTGTCTCCTCATGTGCACTTGGTTGTCTGCCCTCTGCTGGTAACGCTGCCTCCAGCTTCTTCACTCTTCCTTAGTCACACTGGCATTGCCTGGTTGGGACCTCATCCTTACAGACTAGACTACAGTTATGACCCTAACGGCCTCCTGAGCTGGCGTGTCCTCCCTCCGTGGAGATAACTTGCATTCCCCTCGTGGTCTCCTTCTGCTTACGAACCACCTGCATATCTGTGACCTTGGATTGGCTAACATCTCGGCTTCCACTCTCCCCCCACAACCCATTCTTCACACAGGAATTGGAGGAGATTTTACCATGAAAATCAAATAATAGGACACATAATGTGTGATCCCACTTTAGTGACCTCTCTAGAACATGTCAATCCATTGAAACAGAAAGCTCACTGGAGGTTGTCAGGGGCAGTCGGGGGCAGCAGGTGAAATGGGGAAGTAGCGCACAATGGTGTAGAACTTGTTTGGGGAGATGAAACCTTTGAGAAATAGACTGTAGTAGTGACCGTAGGGGTGTGTACGGCTAGTGTTACTGAATTGTACTCTTGAGAATGGTTATGATGGTGCATTCTGTGTTATACATATTTTACCACAATAAAAAATAGACTGTGAATTTGATTTGACTACCGTCTTTCTTCACCCCTTCAGAGTCTTAAAGTGAACTGATGTCCAAGCACTGTGTGGAGACCTGTCACGGCTGCCTGCTCCCAGCCTCACATGCACCAGGTTGGTCCCACTGCAAGGACCTCTTACTTGTTGTGTCCTTGCCCCAGTCTTCAGGGTGGACCCCTTTATTATTCACCCTCAGTTCAGATGCCATCCTTACAGGGAGACCCATCCAGACTGCCACGACGTAGCCTTCTCCACCCTGCTAATCCCTGCTAATCCCTTCAGTTGGCGTCTCTCTGGTGCTCCATTACCTTATTTTCTTACATGTTTATCGAATCTCATCACTAGCAAGTTAGCTCCTTGCAGGCAACATCTTTGTCTGGATCGCTGCTGCCTCTCTGCCATGGGGCCTGACACAGAGCCAGTTCTCATTAAATGCTATTGAATGAATTATGGATGTCTTGTTTTATATGCTACTACTCCCCTTAAGTCTACGGCCATTTCACCCTGAATGCACCCCATCTTGTGTCACCTCGGAAGCTAAGCAGGGTCGGGCCTGGTTAGTACTTGGATGGAACACTCTCAGAGAATACCAGGTGCTGTAGGATTTTAGGAAGTCCTGGTGTAACACTGTGGGACTGGACTATAAAGTCAGTTTGAACTGCTAGGTCAGCAGTTCAAGCTCACCAGCTGCTCTTTGGAAACCCTATACAGGATCGCTATTGGTCAGAACAGACTCAATGGCCTTTAACAACAACTCTCCTTAGGAGTCCTGGCATAGTGCTATAGGATAAGCACTGGACTGCTAGCCACAAGATTAGCAGTTCAAATCTACCAGCTGCTCCTCAAAAACCCCGCACAGGGTCGCTATGAGTGGGAAACGACTTGATGACATTTAACAGCTCCCCTTAACCAGGAGAAAGATGAGGCTTTCTGCTCCCAAGAAGATTTTAAATCCTTGGGAAGCCTATTCAGGGCCATTATGAGTCAGAACCAACTCAACTGTACTTAACAACAACCGCTCCCTTTAAAGGAACCCTGGTGGTATCGTGGGTGATGTGCTGGGTTGCTAACTGCAAAGTCATCCGCTCAAGTCCACCAGCCACTCCAATGGAGAAAGATGAGACTTTCTGTTCCTGTAAAGATTTTCAGCCTCAGAAACCCTGTACAGGGTCTATATGAGTTGGAACCGACTTCACGATCTACAGCCACTCCCAGCAGATGAAATCTACCCAGCATGCTCTTTGTGCTACTCCCTAGGTTCAGACCAGCTCTCCTGGCTCTCCTCAGGTTCAGTGTGGCCCCAAACCAGACCTTATCCAAGGTCCACATCACCAAGTCCACCGCCACGAAGCTTTCCTGCTCGGTGTCCTCTTGGCCTTCACAGTGTCTCTGTGGCTCTTTGCACTCTGAATGGTAGTCTTCTGTATAGAAGACTTCATGTTTCTCACCAGACTGTAGAACTGTGTTGTAAGTATCTTGACTGTAGTGGTGTTCAACACATCACGGTGGAAGGAAGGAAAGAATAAAGAAAGAGAAAGAATGCAGCAAAGAAGAAAAGTGAAAAGAAGGAAGGGAGTACAAGGTGGGTGGGAATGAAGAAGGGAAGAGGGCAGGAAGTCCTAAGACCAGTCTTCTGTCTGCTCTGCTCTGCACACACCTCTCCAAGCAGTGTGCAGCAGTCAGTACCCACTCCGGGGATATTAAAGTGCCTCCACAGAAGTGTTGTCCAAATCTAGAAGGGAAGAATGGCCGCATTTTAGTTCACATAGGATGGTTCATTCTGCATTCACTCAGTTTTTATCATATTGACATCTCCTCCTCCCCCAAAAAATGACTAGCAGCCCACAATCAGGCTAGTAGTGACTGGAGCTGTGTTTCAGTATGGGGTCTTCCAGGGGGTTTCATCACATCTGTGAGATGGCTTGAGGAAGTTCAAGTTCATCCTGTTCTCGGGAGAACAAAATGACTTTGGCCCATGAGCCATGGACCCCAACAGAAATGACCAGCCAAAGAGTTTCCCCTTGAGGATTCTGATTTCTTATTGACAAGATCTATGAAAGATCTCATGGAACCATCTTCAAGGAGCAAGATGTGGTTCTGAATAGCTGTGAGTCATGGGAAGATGCTGATTCTACTTGAGAAAACTTACTTTGGAGAAGAATGGCCCCTAAATCATTGACATTATGGGACGGCTTCGGCAAGGGCTGACTTTGTACCTACTGTGTGAGCCACTCTGGACCAGAGTGTAATGAAAAGGAGTGTAATGGTAAGCACACAAAAACAGATGTGTTGATAAATCAATCAAGAAAGAGACTACAGTATAGTTTGGGAAAGAACAAATAGTTAATAGGTAAAAGGTGAAGGCTGACTGAATTGGTCAAGAAGTCTCTTCATGATAAGGTAAAGAAAAGCACACTTGACAACAAAATGAAGTGTGAAGTAAACAAGTCTATTGATGGCATTTCACAAGCTTATGAAGCCAGGCTCTTTAGTGAGGCGGGAAGCTCAACAAAGAAGCAGAGAAACCTGTGGAGTATGGGTATTTTAGATGAGATTCTCAAGAAAACCCATCTCATTAAGGCAAGGTTCTACCGAGACAATAACCCCAACTGTCTTGGGGTTCCACAGGAGCAGAAGTGGTCACCCTCAACTTAGAGGGATAATGAACTAGCCTCCACTGGGGGCGGGGAAGGGGGAGATTCATTTGTCTACATTGAACTGAATTCAGCAATTCACGAAGGTGTCCATGAGTTTGTATCTGTAATATTAAAGGAAACCTCGTGGCAGAGTGGCTAAGTGCTCAGCTGCAAACTAAAAGGTGAATGGTTCGAACTCACCAGCTACTCCACAGGAGAAAGATATGGCTGTCTGCCTCTGTAAACGATTACAGTCTTGGAAACCCAAAGGGCCAAGTCCACCGTGTCCTTTAGGGTCTCTAGTAGTTGGTATTGACTCAATGACAAAGGTTTCGTTTTTGGTTTCCATCTATAATAATAGAGCATTTTGCCTTGTCCCTTTTCTAAAATGCTACATTTCTGAAACTATCCCTTTCTGTTCATTTTACAACGAAATAATGATGATCAAAACTTCACCAACAATATTATAATTTGGTATAGATTGATGTGTCTTCAGATTTTGATAATAGTAGCCAAGATCAAAGAAAAGTTTCCAATTTTGGCAATTTCCAAAGTAGAGAACCTAGAATAATAATGTTTATTTAATGTTCATTTCCTCCTGAGGAGAATATGGAAACAATAATGACATCTGCACAATCCAGACTTAGTGTTGAGTGTGTGCAGTTTGCCTGGAAGGCTGGTATCAATCGTTTCTAAAAATGGTCTTACCTTGTTCTGAGACTGATTTGCCAGGGCCAGGAATGTGGGTTGGCCACACATCCCCCTACAACTCTTCCAGGACACTTCTTTGGTTCCACCTTGGGCTTTCCACAGTCAAATGAGGAGGATGCTGTGGTACAGAGTAGGAGAAAGTCACATTTGATGGAGTCAAAGGTAGCAACTTTGTCAAGTAGTTCAGGACCAGTTCGTGTCTGACAGCCAAAGCACTGATTTTAGGCGTCCCAAAGCTCCTGGTGGAGTCCTGGGGTGGCGCTGTTCGCTAATAGGCTGGACTGCAAGGTCGTTCGAACCATGATGTTGGCGGTTCAAACTCACCAGCTGCTCCTTGGAAGCCCTATACAGGGTCACTATGGGTCAGAACTGACTCAACGGTGCTAAACAACAATAACAAAGCTCCCAGTGGAAGTCTTGGTGTGCTGCTGTGAGTTAATGCGCTGGACTGCAAAGTCGTTAGTTCAAGCTCACCAATTACCCCTAGAAAACCCAATACAGAGTCACTATGGGTCAGAACCGACTCTACGGCACAACAATAACAACAAATCTCCTGGTGTGGCATTGTAGAATCAGTACTGGACTGCAAGACTCAAAGTCAGCAATTAAAACCCACCAGCTACTCCTTGGAAACCCTATTCAGGGTTGCTATGAGTCAGAACCAACCAATTCAACAGCATTTAACAACAAAGTAAAGTCCAAACTAAACAGTAAAACCAGAGCATCTTTTGGAAAATTTTCTGTCAGCTTAAAAGTGCCAGTAGACATCACACAACCCTCAACTTTCAGGGAAATACAAATACTTTGTTACTATTTTGTTGGGAAGTGACAAGTTGGGATAATTAGAAATTAGAATGGTATCTTTTCTGAGATGAGCCTGACTGACAAAACTATGATTCCAACTCTATGTACTATGTTCTAGACAATGCTATGTCTAGAACACTCTATCATCATTCTCATCATTCTCAATAGCATCTAAATCATGTGACATTTACTGAGACCCACAGTTGGTAAACCCATTAAAAGGAAGTAAGTTTATTTTTAGCTTGACTTTGTGTATGCCTATACTCACTCATGCATACACAAAGTTATTCTGAAAATATCCTAACTGCCTTTCAATGCGTATATGAACATGTGATTGAATGTAGCAAGAATAACTAACCTAAGGTGAAACATTACCTTCCCTTAGCCAACCTTTACATCCTTACAGGCTGCTTAAATAAATACACTTTAAAATGTTAATATAGAGTTTTAAAATGTTAATCAATGATTCTTTTTCAATTTAAGGGTAAGCTTTTCTAGTGAATTAAAAGAAAGTTTGGAAGTTTTAAGAAAATTTCACACTTAAATAAATAAAAGCCAGAAGAGCATACTGTGCTCATGGATAGAAAAGCGTTAACAGGTGTAAAAATGTCAATACTATGCAAAGTCATCTAGAGCTATAATGCAATCCCAAGCCAGAGTCCATCAACATCCTTTAAAGAGATGGAAAAACTGATCATCAACTTTATATAGAAAAGAAAGAGACCCTAGGTAAGCATAGCACTACTGAAGAAGACTCTTGGTATCATGTTACAGGATAAGCACCAGACAGATAAATGCAAGGTTGGCAGTTCAAACCCACCAGTCACTCCTTGGAAGCCCTATACAGGGTACCTATGAGTCGGAATCGACTCGACAGCACTTCACAGCAACAACTGAAGAAGAACAAAGCAGGAGGCCTCCCACTTCCTGATCTTAGAACCTACTATACTGCACAGTAGTCAAAACAGCCTGCTACTAGGACAGAGACAGACACAAAGAACAATGGAACAGAATTGAGAACCCAACAGTAAATCCATCCACCTATGGGCAGCTTACCCTCAACACAGGGCTGGAATCCATTAAGTGGATTCCACTGCTGAAAGAATTGAATATTCGTTTGCAGAAAAATGTTACAGAAGCCATACCTCATGGTACACAAAAACTAACTCAAGACAGATCAGAGACCTAAATGTAAAATTTAAAACTATAAAGATCATGGAAGGTTTTCTGGAATGACACTGTAGAATAAGCATTGGAATCCTAATCACGAGGTCAATTGTTCAAATCTACCAGCCACTCCTCACAAATACCATACAGGGTCTCTATGAAGCAGAATGATAACACTTAGCAACAACAACATAAAGATCATGGAAGAAAAACTAGGAGCAAACTTTGGAGCCCTAATTTATAGTCTATCAAAAATAAAAATGCACAAATAATATAAGATAAACTAGATGACTGGGGCCTTCTAAAAGTTAAACACTTATACACATCCAGATTTCATCAAGAGGTAAAAGAGAACCTACAGATTGTGAAAACATATTTGGCAATGATATGAGAAAAAAGAACTAATTGCTAACATTTTCAGAGAACTTCAATACCTCAACAACAATAATGGCCACAAGCAATCTACTTTTAAAATGGCCAAAGGAAACGAACAGGAGACTATTAAGTGACCAACAAATACATGAAAATCTGTGTCGTTATTGTTAGGTGCCATCGAGTCAGTATCGACTCACAGCGACCTTATGCACAACAGAACAAAACACTGCCCTACCCTGGGCCAACCTCACTATTGTTGCCATGCTTGAGCCCATTGATGCTGCCACTTTGCTAATCCATCTCGCTGGGGGTCTTCCTCTTTTTCTCTGACCCTCCACCTTGCCAAACATGATATCCTTCTCCAGCAACTGGTCCCTCCTGACAGTATGTCCGAAGTATGAGAGACAAAATTTGGCCATCTTGGCCTCCAAGGAGCACTCTGGATGTACTTCTTCCGACACAGATCTGTTGGTTCTTTTGGCAGCCCATAGCACTTTCAATATTCTCCTATAACACCATAACTCAAAAGCATCACTTCTTCTATGGTCTTCCTTAGTCACTATCTAGCCTTCACATGCATATGAGGTTATTGAAAATACCATGGCTTGGGTCAGGTGCACCTTCAAGCTGACATCTTTGCTCTTCAACACTTTAAAAAGTTCTTGTGCAGCATATTTGCCTAATGCAATATGTCCTTTGATTTCTTCCATGAGTGTTAATAGAATGAACTCCTTGACAAATTCAATCTTTTCTCCATTGTTTAGAATGTTATTTATTGGTCCAGTGGTGAGGATTTTTGTTTTCTTTACATTTAGATGCAATCCATACTGAAGGCTGTGCTCTACTATCTTCATCAGTAAATAGTTTAAGTCCTCTTCACTTTCAGCAAGCAAGGTTGTATCATCTGCATATTGCAGGTTGTTCATGAGTCTTCCTCCAATCCTGATGCCATGTTTTTCTTCATAGAACCCAGCTTCTCGTATTATTTGCTCAGCATACAGGTTGAATAACTATGGTGAAAGAATACAGACCTACACCTTTCTTAATTTTAAACCATTTAGTGTTCCCATGTTCTGTTTGAACAACTGCCTCTTGGTCCAGGTACAGATTCCTCATGAGCACAACTAAATGTTCCAGAATACTCATACTTTGCAGTGCTGTACATAGCTTGTCATGATCCACACAATCGAAAGCCTTTGTGTAGTCAGTATAGCACAGATATTTCTGATATTCTCTGCTTTCAACCAAAATCCATCAGACATCAGCAGTGATATCTCTCGTTCCACGCCCTCTTCTGAATCCAGCTTGAACCTCTGGAAGTTCTCTGTCAATGTATGCTTGCAGCTGTTTCTGTATTACTTTTAGTAAAACTTTACTCGCATGGGATATCAAAGAGATTGGCCGATGATTTCCGCATTCCATTGGGTCTCCGCTCTTTGGAATGGGCACAAATATGGATCTCTTCCAATCAGTTGGCCAGATAGTTGTCGTCCAAATTTCGAGGAGTGAGTGCCTCCTGTGCCACCTCACTTTCTTGAAAGATTTCTATTTTTATTCCATCAATTCCTGGTGCCTTGTTCTTTACCAATTCCTTCAATGCACCTTGCACTTCCTCCTTAAGCATCATTGGCTCTTAATCATATGCTACCTCTTGAAATGGTTGAACATCAACCATTTCCTTTTGGAAAATCTTTGTTGTTGTTGTCAGGTGCCATCGAGTCAGAACCGACTCATAGCGACCCCATGCACAGCAGAACAAAACAATGTCCGATCCTGGGCCAACCTCACTACCGCTGCCACACTTGAGTTCATCAATGATGCCACCTGGCCAATCCATCTCATTAGGGGTCTTCCTCTTTTTCTCTGACCCTCCATCTTATCCAGCATGACATTCTTCTCCAGTGACCATTTCCTCCAGACAATATGTCCAAAGTATGAGAGACGAAGCTTAGCCATCTTGGCCTCCAAGGAACACTCTGGGTGCACTTCTTCCAAAACAGATCTATCTGAAAATCTTTACAGGAGCAGAAAACCTCATCTGTCTCCCACAGAGCAGCTAGTAGAGTCAAACTTCTGGCTTTGCAGTTAGCAGTCCAACACTTAACCCACTGCACTACCAGGGCTCCTTCATTTGCCATTGTTGTTGGCAAGTGCTTTCAAGTGAATTCCAACTCATAGCGGCCTTTTAAAAGGTTTCCGAGTTGCAGCTAATGGGACTCTCATACACTGCTGGTGAGATTGTAAAATGTTACAACAATGTGGAAAGGAGGCCTGGTATGGTGCTGTAGGGTAACAACTGGACTGCTAACTGCAAGGCTGGTGGTTCAAACTCACCACCTACTCCTCAGAAACCCTATACAGTGTCACTATGAGTCAGTAGCAATAAACGGCACTTAACAACAACAACTGTGGGAAATGGTTTATCTCTTCTTTAGAAACTTAAAGATCCCATATGATCCAGCAGCCCCATTAATAAGTATATATTCTAGAAAAATAAAAGCTGTGGCACAAATACATATATGCTCACCCATGTTCATTACAACATTATTCAAATTAGCAAAAAGATGAACTGTGAGTTGGAGAACCTCATTGGACTGTGCTGCGAGTTCTTCTCAGACAGAACATCCCAGTCCAAATTCATCTTTCTACTCCGCCATAAATGAGACAGGGACTTGCTGTTTTTGAATGACCCTTTCTACCAGGACCATCATTCCAAACAAAACCCCACTGCCATGAAGCCTAGGAAGACTAGAGGAATTGTAGGATAAGCATTGGGCGGCTAACCACAGGTCAGCAGTTCAAACCCACCAGCCACTCTGCAGGAGAAAGATGATGCTGTCTGCTCCGGTAAAGATTTATAGTCTTGGAAGCGTTATATAGGGTCACTATTTATCAATAGATAAATGAATAAACAAACTTACACACAGTGAAATGCTACACAGTGTTAAAGAACAATGATTAATATCTCACAACATGGAGGAGTCTGGAGGACTTAATGCTGAGTGAAATAAGTCAATCCCAAAAGGGCAACTATTGTATGAGACCATTATTATAAAAAGGCAAGAAAAGGTTTATGCACAGAAAGAAACATTTTAAAAATACAGGTAAACATCTTACTGGTATTCTTTGCTTTCAGCCACGATCCATCTGACAAAAACCCTGATATCCCTTGTTCCACATCCTCTTCTGAATCTGGTATGCGTTTCTGGCAGTTTCCTGTTGCAACCATTTTGCAAAACTTTACTTGTGTGTGATTTTTTTTTTTTTTTTTTTCAGTAATTCCACATTCTGGTGGGTCGCCTTTCTTCAGAATGGACACAAATATGGATATTTTCTAGCCAGTTATCCAGGTATCTTCTAAATTTCTTGGCACAGATGAGTGTGCACTTCCAGCATTGTATCCATTTGTTGAAACATTTCAAGTGATATTCTGTTAATTCCCGGAGCCCTGATTTTTTGTCAATGCCTTCAGTGTAGCTTGAACTTTTTCCTTTAATGCCAGTAGTTCTTGATCATATGCTCCCTCCTGAAATGATTGGACACGGACCAATTCTTTTTTTGGTAAGTCATCTCTGTATATTCCTACCATATTCCTTTGATGTCTCCTGAGTTGTTCAATGTTTTGCTCAAATAATTCAATAGGGCAACTCGAGGCTTTCATTTTTCTTTAGTTTTTCAGCTTGAGAAATGCAAGCAGGTTCTTCCTTTTTGGTTTTCTAACTCCGGGTCTTTGTACATTTCATTACAATACTTTGTTTTCTCAAACTGCCCTTTGAAATCTTTTGTTCACCTTTTTACTTCATTCATCATTTCTTCCATTCACTTTAAATACTTACTCTACATTTAGAAGCAAGTTTCTGAGTAAGCTGACATCTGTTTTGATCTTTTCTGGGTTTTGTTTTTGTTTTTGTTTTTTTTTTAATGACCTTTCCTCATGTATGATGTTATTGATGTTACCTCACAACTCATCTAGTTTTGGTCATTAATGTTAAATGCATCAAATTTGTTCCTAAGATGGTCTCTAAATTCAGGTTGTATATACTCAAGGTGCTGGTGTGGCTCTATGGGATAACGCACTGGACCACAAGATCAGTTTGAAACACAAGGTCAGAAGTTCAAATTCACCAGCTACTCCTCAGAAACCCTACTCAGGGTGTCTATGAGTTCAAACTGATTCAATGGCACTTAACAACAATAACAATGTTCAAGGTCAAGGAGTCCTGGTGTGGCACTGTAGGATAAACACTAGAGCACAAGGTGGGTGGTTCAAACTTATCAACTGCTCCTCAGAAACTCTATACAGAGTCACTATAAGTCATATATGGCTCTCATTGACTTGTTTTCATTTTCTTCAGCCTCAACTTTGAACTTACATATGAGTAATTGATGGTCTGTTCCACAGTTGACCCTTAGCCTTGATCTGATTGATGGTATTGAGCTTCTCCATCATCTTTCCACAGATGTAGTCGATTTGATTCCATGTATTTTATGTTGTTGTTGTTAAGTGCCATCAGGTCTGTTCTGACCCATAGCGACTCTGTGTCTCCAAGGAGAAGCTGGTGAGCTTGAACTGCCAACCTTGCAGTTCAAACCAACTTTGCAGTTCAGAGCATTAACCCACAGCACCACTCCGGGTATATTGTATAGTCACCATTTAAGTTGATAACAAAAGATATTTCCAATGACTAGTACGTTAGTCTTGCAAAATTCCGTCATGTGATCTCTGGCATCATTTCTATCACTAAGGCCATATTTTCCAACTACTCCTCCTTCTTTGTTTCCAACTTTTGCATTTCAATTATTAGTAACTATTAATGCATCTTGATTGCCTTGTTTGCTCAATCCCAAGCTGAAAAAGTTGGTAGAACTCTTTAATTACTTCATGTTTGGAATTAGTGGCTGGTTCTTAAATCTCAATAATAGTCATTATTAATTGGTGTTCCTTCTTGTTGTTGTTATGTGTCATCAAGTTGATTCTGACCCATAGTGGCCCTGTATAAGGTTTCTGAGGAACAGCTGGTGAGCTTGAACAGCTGATCTTGCAGTTCAAATGACTTTGCAGTCTAGCTCATTTACCCATAGTCCCACACCAGGACTATAAATATATATATATATATATATTGTCCTATCACTAACAGTACTGTATGTCAAGAGAGATACTGAAATGTTATTTTTGACAATGAATGCAATATCAATCTTCTTTAATTTTCATTTCTGGCATAGTAAACCATACTGTCCTATTAAAAATGGCCAATACAAGTTCATTTCCGCGCTCTAATGCCTTAGGATGTGTATCTTTGTTCATTCCATTTCAATTTTGACAGTTTTCATTTTTTCTATATTCATATTGTGTACATTCCATGTTCCTATTACTAATGAAGATTTTCAGCTGTTTTTTCTCAGTCATACCACAATATCAGATGAGGGTTCTGAAAGCTTTACTCCATCTCCATCACTTGAGGTTGATTTTGCTTTGAGAAGACGGCAGCCTTTATTTGAAAAGTAGTTTTCTTACAACAAAGGGGGCCTGGTGACTCAGTGGTTAAGCACTTAAATGCAAACTGGAAGGCTGGGCTTTGAACCTACCAGCTGCTCTGCAGGATGTGGCAAGGAAACATGCAGCAGTCTTCTTCATAAAGATTTCCAACCTTGGAAACCCTCTGGGGCAGTTCCACTCTGTCCTATAGAGTCGTTATGAGTCAGAATCGACTTGAAAATAATGCATTGGGTTGGATTGGGTTTGGGTTCCTTACAAAAAAAACAAAAAGAAAGAAAGACACTTACCACACACAGGGACATCACAGTAGTCATAAAGCTTCCTTGGGTTCGTTGTATAGCACCAGGGACCATTGACATCTCCGTCTGGGTTCCTGCAGTACTGAAACCAAGAGGCAGAAGTGTGATCCCACTCACATTTGGGCCAGAAGGGAGAGGAAGGTGTCCCAAGGCTCAGTCCTTTCACATCTAGCCTTAGAATATGAGCTGTCATGTTCATCTTTTGAGGGGGAGGGTTGACAAAGCTATTTTGAGGATCTTTGTAAAGTCTCTGAATCCCAGCTCTGCCATTGCTCACATACTTAGTCCGAAGAAGCTCAAACTACACGGCTGCACCCACCCTTTAGAGACAGTGGCTGTTTCAAAGGGGTCCTGAGGTAGAGGATATACAAACTGTGCCTCCCCTCCAGGAGTCTCAACTATGGAGATTGGAAAGGTTCCCAGTAGGAGAGGACAGTGAGAGGCTGTTGAGTAGTCTTGTTCCTACTTCCTACCTGATGAAGCAGTTTGCCTGTTGTTTCAGAGACATTTCGTTCCACAGATTGTGCACATTCCATGACCCAAGCAACACAATGGCAGTATCCTCCTTTCCTTCCCTCTACAAATCCCCCAGAGAAAAACCTTCCCAGAGAGTGAGTGAGCCTGGGGGAAATCTATGTGCAATCTTGACAGTCTCACCAAAAAGTTTTCTAGAAGAATCCAAAGAAAATGTCATTAAGGGACTCTCTGGCCACCAGAGCCTAGACCACAAACACTAGAAAAAGAACCAATGCCCAGTAAAAGAAGCTTGGAAGAAATGTCCCCAAGGGAAAGAAGAGGCTAAGGAAATGAAAGCAGCCATGAAGCTTTGCCTGCCATGTTAGCTGTACTCTATAAGCTGGTGCAAGTTCGGTTTCATGGAGAGTCCCCTGAAATCTCTCTTAATTTCTTCCTCTCTCCAGGCCCCAAAGAACAGCCCTGAATGATTTTCTAAGCCCACAGGACCAATCTTGTTTGCAAAGGTTGGTCAGCAAAAGAGAGTCCAAATCAAAGTGACTTACATTTTTCTCCAGGCCTGCCCGTGGATTTGTCTGTGGAGTGAAAATGCTGTGCCTATGAGGCTCTTGGGCAGCCCACCCCTGGCATGGAGTCCCGGTAACAGTGGTCGCCTTCTTGCCCCGGTAGCTTTTGCCATTCCCATACATGCAGTCTGTAGAAACAATAAATAGTAAGGAAGCTGATGAAGTATTACCTCGACCCAGGGAGATGAATAAATATTTAGGGTGCCTTTGGATTTCCCCAAGAAGACAGACTCAATGGTAAAGTCCTTCAGAACACTCTGGAACATCACGATCATGAATAACTGCCTATTTTAAGACATACCAGAAAAAGTTATTTGCTTCAAAGTAATGGCAAATTTAGCAGGATGTCAGAATGGGAATTTTGCTTGGGACAATACAGTCAACAAGATAGAACGCCCATGAGGATTGGGCACCGCCAATATTGCTGAAAACCATTCCATGACTCTTAGACACCTCTCTCTTGGCAAGGGTAGAGAAATGAGTGCAGATTGAAAAGACTTCTTTTTAAGTATTATTTTGACTAGAGATGTTATATGAGTGTCCACCCTCTGAGGTGAGAAGGATAATAAAGATTCTTTGGGCTCTCCATTTTCCCAAGCACGTTGCTCATCTCAAGCCTAGGGAACAGATACCTCCATGTTCTGTTACCCACCACCACCACCCATGTGTGTCCTAATTGAGAGCCCTGTGGGCCAGTGTTATGACGGTTACTTGTAAAATCAAAAGAGCAAAACCTGAGCAGCTAGTTGCTCTGCCAAAGTGTGAGAATGTGTGTGAGCAGAACCAGGGTGTGTGAGTTAGCCATACACCCAATGTGGACATGTCTATGAGAGATCATGCTAGGTCATAAGTCTGTGACGGACACCTAGATGGGACATTTGTCCCAGGGAACACCAGGGGAGGGTCTCCCATCTGGGAAGGAGGTGCCAGCATCAGTAGACACACAGTGGGCAGGAGAGGCCTCAACTTTCTACCAAGTACTCATCTGGAATCATTGCTATCTGGAAGGTTCTATGTCATCCAAGAGTGACTAGAAAGACATGGGAGCACCTGAGTTATCATCATCCAGGGACAGATGGAGAATTGGCCCCTCCCTGTTTCCTCTCAGCCTGCAGTGTTGCAGAGCATGTTACAACCACCCCCAGGTGCTAACTACTTTGAGTTAAGAATAAGAACTAAGGGCGAAGGGCGTAGGAAACAAAGAGGAACTAGTAGAGTTTTCACCTGTGCTGGTTTTTTTGGCCTTTCATCTCTGGTGACAGCCAAATTCTTATGTTCAGGCTAGGTAACGCTTCTGAGCTACTGAACTACAAATCTACTTTCCCAGCTGTGAGTTGGAGAACCTCATTGGACTGTGCTGCTAGTTCTTCTCAGACAGAACATCCCAGTCCAAATTCATCTTTCTACTCCGCCATAAATGAGACAGGGGCTTGCTGTTTTTGAATGACCTTTTCTACCAGGGCCATCATTCCAAACAAAAACCCCACTGCCATGAAGCCAAGGAAGACTAGAGGAATTGTAGGATAAGTGTTGGGCTGCTAACCACAGGTCAGCAGTTCAAACCCACCAGTCACTCTGCAGGAGAAAGATGATGGTGTCTGCTCCCGTAGAGATTTGCTGTCTTAGAAGCGTTGTATAGCATCACTCGGAGTTGGGATCTACTCAGTGGCAGTAGGTTTGGTTTGGTAGATTTTGCCAACAACTTGAATACAACTCACAGAAACCCTATGTTGTTGTTGTTGAGTGCCGTGGAGTCGGTTCGAACTCATAGCAACCCTGTGCAGGGTTTCTGAGTCTGTAAATCTTTACAGGAGCAGAAAGCCTCATCTTTCTCCCACGGAACAGCTGGTAGTTTCAAACTGCTGACCTTGCAGTTCACAGTCCGATCCGTAACCACTACGCTACCAGAGCTACCCTATAGGACAGAGTGAAATTGCCCTATAGGAGTTGCAAGGCTGTCATCTTTAAGGAAGCAGACGGCTGAATCTTCCTCCTGTGGTGTGTTTAGTGGGTTCAAGTTACACTTTAGCCACTGTGCCATTAGATCTCCTTGTGTCATCATTATCAACCTCTTAATCTACCCAGACTCAAAACCTTATCCCTCAAAACCAGTTTGTCAAGGCCTATAAAAACTGCCCACCTGCAGTCAAGTGATGGAGCACCAGTCTTCCTCCCACTTGGTCTGTCCTGCAACACTGGAGTCACAGGTAACATTGATTTAAACTTTCTGCATCCATAAGACTTTCCATCTCTTTTCATCCCTATGCCAAAGTGACAGATCTCTGGTCACAGACTCCTTACCTGTTTCAGAAGGAGTCTCAGCACCTGGAAGTTGAGGTAGCGCAGAAGAGCTTGGGACGCTTCCTCCTGTCTCTGAGCATTTCTTCAGATTGCAGTACTCCCATCGGACACTCGGATCAGTGGTAAAACACCAAGGTTTTTCGTCAGCATCTGGATTTCTGCAGTAGTTCATTGTCAAGTCACTGTCAATTCAAAAGAAACATGAGTCAGAAGAGTGGGAGAAATCTTCAGGGTTACCCAGGCACCCTCTGAAGTTGATGACAAAGAAGCATTAATGAATGAATGAGATGCTTCCTGTAAAGGACCAATAACAGGACCACCAGCACAAATGGTCCTCAGCTTCCAAATTGCTGGGTGCATCTCAAAGCCAGGTTATAATTTTTATAAAAATCAAAATAGATGGTCCATGTCAAAACTAAGGTAATATATGTGTGTAAAAGTATCAGAATGCTGTTCTTCCACATGCTATTAAATACAGTCCCTAGGAATAACCACTGTGGATTTTGAAGCCAATGTTTAGATTATTTTCTATACATATAGAACTATATCTGTATCTCCATACAGGAATGCACAGGGATTTGTAACTTAGAACTAAAGGTATTTCCACATGCCTCCCTCCTTTTGTTCCTCATTTCCTGGGAACAGTGTCCTTCAGATTACCAGAGCTCAGATCCAGTATATGTGTACAGATCAGATCACTCACACACACACACACACACACACACACACACACACACACACACACACACATACACTCATGACTCATGAACACAGACGGCAAACACAAACTTCACTTAAGTGGTTGAAGATTGGAATGATAAAATTCCATAGTTGAAAAATTGCTCTGATTGTTAGCTGGGGTTGGGGAATGGTACCGTTTCTAAGCTCTTAGCTATTGTTTTCTCCTTAGTTTTCCATCAGCATGAGCTTACCATCCCCAACTGCTCTGACCACCTCTGCTCTAAGTTCTCGTTTCTCAGATACTTTGCTCAAAAGTAAGGTGCCTGACACACTTGGTCTCACATTCTTGAGCTAATAGAAATTTAATACCATTAAGTGAGCTTAAAGAAGAGCTCTCCTTACAGAAACTTCAACTGACTGTTGCTTCTCTTATGATGAAAATCAAAGACATACGCATTTGGGAAGTTTTCTGGAGTCTTCAGATGCCGATGTGGTGTCATGGATACCCAAGACTGACACTTCTTCCCAGTGATAGTGGTGGATGAGGTACCTCGATAACTCTGTCCATTGCCCTGGTAGCACTCCTGGACCACAGGGGTTTGCTCAGGGATCACTGAAGTGGAAATAGAAGAAGTCAGCTTGTAAAATGGTTGGACCAGAGAAACATGTCATGTATGATATGAACAGTACAGTATTCCCTGGGACTTACCATGTAAATTGGTGAAAGAAGAAACTGTCAACCCTGTCAACCAGACTTCTAGACCCAATGAAAATAAAGGTGTTTTATGACATACAAAATTTGAAAAACATCCTCACTGGCAGACTTGTTCTGTAAGAAATGTTCCAAGAATTCTTTACAGAAAGAATATGGCACTAGATAGAAATTTGGATCTACACACAAAAAAAGAACACCAGAAGTGGTAGAAATAAAAGTAAATGTAAAGTATTTTTAGCTACAACTACTTTAAAAGATGGCTAACTATTCAGGGCAAAGAAAAAAAAAAAACCAACAGATTTATTATGAGATTTATAACATAATGGAAAAATAACAAAACCCTTTTGTGGTTATGTGTCTTCAAGTGAGGTCCTACTCTTAATGACCCCGTATAGGGTTTCCAAGGAGTGTTTGGTGAGTTTGAACCACTGACCTTGTGTAGTCAGCACTTATCATACAGCACCACATCTGAACTGCTCATCTCACTAACTGCAAGGTCGCAGTTCAAACCCACTAGCCACTTTTGGAAACTCAGTAGAGGGTTGCTATGAATGAGAACTGACTTGACAACACACAACAACAAGCACAAACATTTGGGTTGGAGGAAATTGAAGTCTATTGTTGTAAGAGTCTTACACCATCTATGAAACAGAAACATAGACAAGTACGTTAAAGGTAGATTTTGTAGACTTTAGAGAAATTACAGAAATATGAAAAATAAGTTTAATAAACACATGCTGTTGTTGTTGTTGTTCCATGCCATCAAGTCCGTTCTGACTCATAACAACCCTGTATAGGATTTCTGATGAGAGGCTAGTGAGTTTGAACCAATGGCCTGGTGGTTCAAACCAAACTTGCAGTCGAAAAATAAGGAAGAAATCATGAAAACACTACAGGAAAAATCAAATAAGATAGATACAGCATTGGCAACAATTCAAAACCTACAGAAAGAGGTCCAAACGATCAATAATAGAATATCAGAAATAGGCAATACTCTGAAAGGGCAAAGGAGTAGAATAGAAGAGATGGAAGGCAGAACCAGTGAGCTGGAAGACAAAGCTCTCAATACCACTAAGATAGAAGGGCAAACAGAAAAAAAGGATAAAAAAATCTGAAGAAGGTCTAAGATTCAAGTTGGACAACATGAAGAGGAATAACTTAAGAATTATCAGCATTCCAAACTTGCAGTCGAGTGCTTATCCTTCAGTGCTATACCTGGATTTCACATAGTTGAAATTAAATACTATCATAAAAATACTCAATTCATATGACACACAAAATGAAAAAGGGACAAAGTTCATACAGAATATAGGGAAACTAACGAAATGGTAGATTTTAAACCAACTGGTGTGGCATTGCAGGATAACACACTGAACTGCAAGGTCAGTTTGAACTGCAAGGTCAGAGGTTTGAACTCACAAGCTGGATCCTTGGAAACCCTAAGAGTCAAAATCAACTTGACAGGACTGAAAAACAACAATATTAATTCTTATATTAAATGAAAATCGTCTAATTACATCAATTAAAAGGCTGGAGGAAACATAATCATACAAACACTAATGGAAAGAGGTTAGATTGTATCAGGTATTAGCAAATAATACTGTATATACCACGGCCTTCCAGGAGAGCAAACAAATATGTCTGGAAGAAGAGCAGTTGGGATGCTGCTTTAGAAGCAAGAAAGTGAGGACTTTGTCTCAAGTACTTTGGACCGGTTATCAGGAGGGGCCAGTCGCTGGAGAAGGACATCATGCTTGGTAAAGTAGAGGGTCAGTGACAAAGAGGAAGACCCTCAACAAGATGGATTGCCAAAGTGGCTGAACAATGGACTCTGTAGGCAGCAATGAGGAGGAGGAGGTCACAGAGCTGGGCAGTGTTTTGTTTTGTAGTAATACAAAGTAGGCTTCAGAAGAAGGATTAGTCCCAGAGTTAATGAGAGACATTACATAGTGACGAAGGGGATATTTCACCAAGAAGACATGCACATTAAATGTGTATGCACCTGTGATGGTTAAGGTTTTGTCTCAACTTAACTGGGCTGAGATTCTCAGTGCTTTGGCAGCTGAAATGTAGTGACCTCCCCCCATGGTGAGATCTAACATAATGCAATCACCTCTATGATGAGATCTCAGCCAATCAATTGAAAGGAATCTTCCTCAGGGGTGTGGCCTGCCTCCAATATATTGGACACTCAGGCAAGTCTTGCTTGTTGTCCACTGAGTGTAAATCTTGCATCTGGCTTATCCTACAGCCTCTAGTTATTTGGGCTTGAGCAAGTTGCCTGCTAGATTACCTGCCCATCCTGGGAGTTGTCAGCAGCCTGTCTTGTTACCTGCTGGACCTGCCTGTCTGCCATCTAACCTACTGACCTTGATTCATCAACCCTCCATCCATGTGAGTCAGAATCCTCCAGGCTGGTAGCTAACCCACATACTTGGAACTCACCACCTCTACAATGTGTGAGCCATTTCCTTGAAATAAACTTCTCTTTATATTTACATATATGTTTCACTGGCATTGCTTCCCTAGAGAAACCAGCCAAAAGCAGTACCTAACAGAGCTTCAAAATATATGGGGGAGGAAAAAAGATATAAAATTGAAAAGAAAATATTTGGAGACATCACCATTCCTCTCTCATCCTTAGAACAAGGAGGCAGAGGATTATTCAGGAGAAAGAAACATTAAGTAGCATTCACTATCATTTGACCTCATTGGCCTTTAGAGAACACACCACTCAACCTCAGCAGGACCCACATTCATTTCAAGAGCACGTGGCACATTTCCAAGATGAGCAATACTCTGAACCCCAAGACAAACATCAACCAATGTGAAATAACATAAGCTATACTGTTACAAGTCTGTGACTATGACAAAATTAAACAATAAACGAAGTGACCATGTACCATGATGGTACCACTAGAACAGGCAAAGAGAGTTCTCACTATTCTTTCTTACCTGTTGCTTCCGGGGAGGATTCAGAGGACACACAGGATGGTAGCTTGCAGTATTCCCATCTCACCTCACTGTTGGTTGTGTAACACCAAGGAGCATTTTCTCCATCAGGATTTCTACAGTAATTTTCATCCAAATTCCTGAAAAAGAGATGTTTGTGACCTGGGCTTTCCAAAAAGTCTCCTAAAGTAACTAGACAAGGCACATGCATGCTTGTTAGTGGGTGTACAGTGTTCATCAAAACAGGGAGAGCTGAATTGTAGGTCTGAGTGGGGACAAGTATCTTCATTTCTAACAGATTCCTAGTGATGCTGATGGTACTGGTGTAGTGAGCCACACTTGGAAAGCCATTCTTAGAGAAAAACACTTCTCTTTCTTGAGACTCTGTCAGTTTTCCTTCCAGAATTCTTTAATCTTGGGTTCATATAGTAACTCACTGTAAGGCCAGAGAATGAGACAGGGAGCGAGTACACTGGAGCACTTACTTGCAGGGAAAGTTTTCAGGGGTCCTGTTGTGTTTGTGAGGTGTCTGTGCACTCCAGTGCTGACACGTGTGCCCAGATACCGTAACAGCCACATTCCCTCGATAGGTTTCACCTTTTCCCTTCAGACACTGATGGGTTGGTCCAGATGGTGGTGGGGGTGTTGCTTGAATAAGGGAAAAAAATATTATAATTTTTTTTCCTGATAGAAAGAATGCACATGCAAACTTGATAGGAAGAAGAATGCAGTGGGCACAAGTCTTCCCGTTGTCCACCTGATCACTCTTTGAATTTGACACTTGAAAACTGTTGATCAGTTTCAGAAGAAGCAGATTGAGTGGGATCTATGTCTATGAAGGCATGTCATGAGGAAGTCCTCTAGAGACTAGATTCTGGGAGTGAGGCTTCCTTCTTGGTTCTCTTTGCTCTATTCCTCATACGTGGTATCAGCATGTGTCAGCATCCCTTCCCAAACCCTCACCAACACCAAGGAATGATCCAATTGCTTTGTGAATAATCAGTTATTCACTGAATAAACACAATAACTTGACACCTAGTATTCTAAAAAGCCAACATATGTTTATGGAAAGACAAGCAATATCTCCAAGGAAAAGTGTGTACATCTAGAAATTAGTAAATTCTTCAGAAAAACAAGGAGAGAAGCTAGCAAGAAGAGACACTGATGATTCATCAAGATGGAGAATCTAAGAGGACCTGTAGCATCCAAAATGCATGGTAATCAAGCATAGGGAAGGAAGTCAGTCTCTAGAGTCTGCCCAGACCTCACTTCTGATGGCTGTCTCTGCCTCAACACTGAGGCCCTTGTCTCTTGTTGTCATGCCTAATCCACTACTGTCAAGTCCAAGTTAGACTCACAGTGACCCCAGAGGACAAAGTAGTATCGTTCCCTTAGATCTGGGGCTGTAATTCTTCCCAGAAGTAGGCTGATTCATCTTTCTCCCACAGAGTGGCCGATGAGTTTGAATTGCTGACTTTTCTGTTAGCAGCCCAAGACCTAACCTATGGTTCTAGCAGGATTCCTTTCATGTTCTCATAAAGGGAAAACATTATAAAATTGTTCCTTCTAAATTCTTCCACCTTAGACCTGCCTCATCTTCTTCTCTCCCTGGAATCCTCTCTCCTCTATCCTCCTCAAGTTGGAAATACTGAAGAACTGGGCATCCAGAGACACTTTGTGGACAATGCAATTGCTAGAATGAACTCTAGTGGATAGGCAGATCTATGGCTCAGAAAGCATGGGTTTCATCTCCCTGAGCACTGGAGAAAAGTAGAATGCCAATGATGCCTTTTAAGAGCAGATATTTAGCTGTGCCTCTGAGTCAGAACTGTCTGATAGGGAAAAGTGTGATAAAAACATGATCAATTAATGTTCTGATCAATTACTTAAGTTAGTTGCCCTGAAGTCAACTCTGACCCATGGTGACACCATCTGTACATTGCAAGGTCTTTCTTCTAAGGCTCCTCTGAATGGACTTGAACATGGGCTTGAACCTCCAACCTTTTGGTTACCACCAATGTGTATGAATGATTTCTATAAAAGAGCAAATATCCTACAGGACTTTTAGACACAGTGTCGTGGTTGATGTGTGCAGTCAAATCGATTCCAACTCATACCAACTCTATAGGACAGAGTAGAATTTCCCATAGGGTTTCCTGGCAGGAATATGTATGGACAATAAACAAGGAAGTAGAATTGATGCCTTGACAAACAATACCGAATATACCATGGACTGCCAGGAAAAGGAAGAGATTTGTCTTGGAAGAAGTCCAGACTAAATGCCCCTTACAAGCAAGGATGGCGAGACTTGGTCGCAAGGCCTTCATGTGTGTTTTTAGGAGAGACCAGTCCCTGGAGGACATCATGCTTGGCAAATTATAGTGTCAGCAAAAAAAGATGAAGACTCAACGTGATGGGTCAATGTAGTGGCTACAACAATAGGCTCAAAGATGACAACAATTGTGACGATGGTACAGTACCAGGTGGTGTTTTGTTCAATGACATCTAACAACAAAAGCAACAATAGTATTACAGGAGCAAATTGGCCAGGTCCTTTCTCTAGGGGAAAGACTGGTGGAGTCAATCTTTCTGTTACAGCCCAAACTCTAAACCACTGACTCCCTGGTCTCCTTAGAGTTGTTGATGTTGTTGTGAAGTGTTGTCAAGTCATTTATGACTCATGATAACTCTGTGTAGGGTTTCCATGCGGCAGCACACTTCTCAGGTACTAATGTCATCTCCTTAATTCCAAGAGCACAAAGGTCAGGACCCAGACAGCTGGGGATGAGTCATACTCACTGCAGCGGGAGATGTTGCAGTACTCCCAGCGCTTGTTGGGATCTGTGGTGAAGCACCATGGACGGGGCTCCCCATCGGGGTTACGGCAGTAATTCATCTTCAGGTTCTTGCTGGGAAACCTGAATGGGTGAAATCGATTTAACAGTACCAAGAATTGACAAACACTGATTAGACTCCTCTCAAAGGCAGTGATATTGAGCATCTGCTGTGTGTCAGGGACAGGCATGCACCTGAGCAGGTAATTGGCTGCCTTTACAGAGATGGACACCTAGTAAAAGAAGAGGACAAGGGGACCTTTTTCTATCAGTTTACATGCCCAAAGATCACTGAGCAGGCTCAGGAATGTCATCACTCTGGCCTTCTTGAAAATGGATATATACAAACTCCTATGATTCCTCTGCAAAAGAGCAACTTCTAAAACACAAAGTACTCACTGATGAAAAGTCATCACCAAGTACACAGGAGAGCTGGGGAGTTGGAATCTTCATAGAGTAAGACTGGTTCTTCTGGTCTATTAGGTTTTCCTCTACTAGTATTTGAGCCTATAGAAACTAAGAGGGGTGTGCAGTACTCCATGAGCACTTGTTCGAAGAGTATGGGCTGAGCCCCCTTCAACGCTCCTACATGGTGACTCAGTGGCTTAAACCATTAGACACACTGTGCCTGGAGCCTGTGGGCTAGCCTCAGGTTCCTCTCTGAGACTCAAGTTCTCAGTCAGGGGGGACAGCGCAACCACAGAAGTCATACCAGCCCTCTTCAATTTTCCTGGAAGTAGATTTACCCAGTTTAGGACCTTGCAGTATTTGCTGTATTTCTCTTTGTGTTGAGCTAGCTTTTTGAGGTGGGAGCTGCCAAAAGCCAGTAGATTGTTTTCCACAGTGAAAGAAGTGGATTAGTCTCATGTCTAAGGCTCTTAGACTCTCCATTCTGGTCACCAGAGAATGGAGAACAAGACCGGAAGCAGTAACAGAATGGGACTGTTTTCCAGGGCAGTGACTATGAAATGGAATACACAGGAAACCTGACACTAGGAACTACTCTTACTATCTAATGCTGTAGCCCTTATTACTTTTTAAGGGACTTCCTTTTCCTCGCTGCAGAAAAATGCAATGAGATAAATCCACATCCAAAGTCAGGGAATCCACAGGACTCCTGAAGACCATTCCTAAACCACAGGTTAAGGAGCCAGAAATATTGGAAAAGACACAAGTGATGTATCTCTAAGTCACTAGGGAAGCTGTGGAACTGCGGATGTAGACCCAGAGATGTGGGACTAAAACTCTCCATCTCTAACAGGCTCTCAGGTGACACGAACACTGTTGATGCATGGAGCATGGACCACATTTTGAGTAACATGACTGCATACAAGTATTCTGCTTCCATTTGGGTTGAAGGATGCAGGTTCTAAAATTCAAAAGTCTTGGGTTCGTTCACTTCTGAGCCACACTAGAATATATACATAGCATACATACATAGTAACAGTGATTCTGAGGGAGTGATAGCTTCTTAAACATTTCAGTCTTCCTCCCTACCCCAAGAGACTTACTTTGAAGGAATGTATCCATGAGCATGTGGGATCTGAGAGTCCCAGGCCTGACAATCAAATCCGGACATGGTCTGGGAAATTTTGCCCTGATAGTTTTCTCCACTACAATGCATGCAGTCCTCTGGACAGAGAAGGGAAGAAGAAAACAGAGAGAAAGAAACAGAAACGGATGAAGCAAAAATACAGTAAATATATATATATATTGTTGTTGTTGTTGTTATGTGCCCTGGAGTTGGTTCCGACTCATTGCAACCCTGTACAGGGTTTCCAAGGCTGTAAATATTTACGGGAGCAGAAAGCCTCATCTTTCTCCAGTGGAACAAGCTGGTAGTTTCGAACTACTGACCTTAAGGTTCGCAGCCCGATTTGTAACCATATGCTACCAGACCTCCTTATACATCCTCCTTATATATATATATTGTTGTTGTTGTTTTTAAGTGCTGTCGAGTCGGTTCCAACCCATATATATGTATATAGATTTGTTGTTGTTTTTGTTAAGTGCTGTCGAGTCGGTTCCAACCCATAGCGACCCTGTATAGGGTTTCCAAGGAACAGCTAGTGAGCTTGAACTGCGGACCTTGCAGTTCAACAGCTTTGCAGTCTGGCGCATTAACCCCCAGCACCACACCAGGACTCCATGTATATAGATACAGAGATAGATATTCCACTAGAAAGATCTCAAATACCATTGCCTTTTCTTCATCACTAGCAATACTGACGATGAAGACTAAAAATTTTCTAGTCCAACCCAAAATGTCATGTTCTTTTTTAAGTAGTTGAGTTCCACATTTTATTAATATCCCCATAACTGTCATAACTGAATTCAGAACTATTACAAGACCGTGTCCTCAAACTGGGAGTACCAGGGTGCATACTCTCAGAAGGTTGTGATTCTCTCTTAGACTACTGAAATATTTGGTGTCTTCATTTCAATAATGATCTCTGAAATTTTCTATGTAATGATTCTCATCACATGGGTGACTGCCGAATACATGGGCATGTTCAAATTTTGTGTGTCTTGATGACCTCTTTTGAGAACAATATTTCCCTTAGAGTGACAGTGTTTTCCTTCTTACTTTGTTGAGACTCAAAAATGGTTGTTTTTAGTTCTCTTAAGTTTTTTTGAAAAATGAAATCTTTGATTTAGAATATCAAACATTGATTGAAATAACATGGTGCAACTGGATAGTGTGTTACTTTAATTTGAAAAGAGAGGCAGAGTTGATATTAAAACATACATTTATGTCAACTAACGGCCAAGTAACCTAGAGATAAAGGATTCCCATGGTTCAAGTTATTGAGACAATGGGAAGTACCAGTATTATCAGACAAAACAAGACCAGGAGTCAACTGGAGCAGACCATGGATTGCTCATATGAATTTCAGGTTTAAACTGAATAGTATTAAAACACATCCAGGAGAGCCAAAATATGTCCTTGAGTATGTCCCACTTGGATTTAGAGACCATCTCAAGAATAGAACTGTTGCATTAGACATTAATTACAGAAGACCAGAGGAATTGCGGGATGACATAAAAAACACCATTCATAAAGAAAGCACAAGATCATTAAAATGACAGGAAATAAAGAAAATGGATGTCAGAAGAGACTCTAAAACATGTTTTTTAATGTAGAGAAGCTAAAGCAACTGGAAGAAATAATGAAGTTTAAGTTCAGTCGTTTCTAGAGGTAACATATGTCAAGAATAGAAGGTACTGAAGGAAGAAGTCCTAGCTGCCTTGAAGGCATTGGTGGAAAACAAGACTCCTTGAATTCACTTGAACTTTTTTTTACTATGCAAAGGCCTTTGATTGTGTGGATCATAACAAACTATGGATAACATTGAGAAGAATGGGAATTCCAGAACACTTAAATGTGCTCATCAGGAACCTGTATATAGATTAAGAGGCAATCATTCAAATAGAATAAAGGGATGCTAAATGGTTTAAAATTGGGAAAGATGTGTGCCTGGTTTGTATAATTTCACCATATTTATTCAATCTGTATAATGAGCAAACATTCTGAGAAGCTGGATTCTATGAAGAAGAACAGAGTATCAGGATTGGAGAAAAACTCATTAACAACCTGAGATATGCAGATGGTATATAACTCTCTTGATAGAAGTGAAGATATCTGATGGATATCAAACAGTGCAATCTTCTGTATGGATTACACTCAATGTACAGAAAATAAAAATCCTCACAACTGGAACAATAAACAGGATCATGATAAATAGAGAAAAGATTGATGCTGTCAAAGATTTTATTTTATTTGCATCCACAATCAATATTCATGGAAGCAGCAATCAAAAAATCAAATGACTTATCACATTGAATAAATCTGCTCCAAAAGACCTCTTTAATGAATTAAAAAGAAAAGATGTCATTTCAAGGACTAACAGAACCCATGATATGTTCAATCACCTTAAATGCATGCAAAAGCTAGACCATGAATAAGAAGGATCAGAGAAAAATAGATGCATTTGAATTATGGTGTTGTTGAAGAATATTGAAAGTGTCATGGACTTCCTGAAGAATGAATAAATCTGTCTTGGAAGAAGTACTGATGGATTACTCCTTGGAAGAGACTATGGTGAGTCTTTGTCTCTCATACTTTGTGCATGTGATCAGGAAGGACCATGCCCTGGAGAAGAACATCATGTTTGATAAAGTGGAGGGTCAGTGAAAAAGACAAAGACCCTCAATGAGATGGCAACAACAATGGACTCCAACACAACAGCCCTTGTGTGGGTGGGGTAGGGCCAGGCAGTGTTTTATTCTGTTGTACACAGATAGGGTCACCATAAGTTAGACTCGATTTAAAGGCACACAACAGCAACCACGTGATTCCAGTAGATAAAGGTAACTAGGATGCTGTCACTTACTGCCACCTCTACTTTGCAAGCAGAGATGTTGCACCCGCCTTTACTCATTCCCATTTGCAACTGGAAAGGTAGGAGTAATATAAAATGAAGAAAATTTTTTTCAATAGAGTGCTTCCCCACCCCACCCAGCATTAAACTTTGAGGTGTGCTATTCAATGAGTCAGGAGTCTTGGAGTGGCACTGTGGGTTAATGTGCTAGACTGCAAAGTCAATTTTAACCACAAGGTCTGTGGTTCAAGCTCACTCTGATGCCCTAGACAGGGTCGCTCTGGGTTGGAACTGATTCGACAGCATTCAACAACAACAATTGAATGGGTTAGCCCATTGAAATGAGAGAAGGCTGACTTAAGAACTGGTTCATTGCTTAGATGCAACAAAAGAACAAAATCTATATGAAAATAATGTTGAATATTTGAATTTTATGGCGTTTGTAGCTTAGTTTTCATTATTTAATTGCCACTTTGGGTTTGGGTTTTAGATTGTGTACACATTATAAGGATAAGAAGTTTATCTCTAAAGTTTCTATCTTGTTTTATGTTTATATACCTTCAAGTTTGATTTAAATAAAAAAATAGCTAAGCCAAGCAATGGAAGTGTTGTTGTTAAGTGCCATCAGGTCAGTACTGATCCATAGCAACCCTCTGCACAACAAAACAAAACACTGCCTGGCCCTGAGACAATCTCACAATCATCGTTACATTTTAGCCCATTGATGATGCCTCTGTCCCATTCTATGTTGACAGGGGTCTTCCTCCTTTTGTACAACCCTCTACTTTACCAAACATGATATCCTTCTCCAGGGACTGGTCTCTCCTGTTAATGAGCCTGGCCATCCTGGTTTCTAAGGAGCATTCTGACTGTACTTCTTCCAACACAGATTGGTTTGTTCTTTTGGTAGTCCAAGGTACTTTTAATATTCTTCTCCAAAGCCATAACTCAAATGCATCAGTTCTTCTGTTATCTTCCTTATTCCCTATCCAACTTTAACATGAGTATGCTGTTGTTGTCGTTAAGTGCCGTCAAGTCGGTTCTGACACATAGCAACCCTATATAGGGTTTCCAAGGAGCAGCTGGTAAGCTTGACTTTGCAGTTCAAATGGCTTTGCAGTCTGGTGCATTAACCCACAGCACCACCAGGACTCCACATGCATATGAGGTGACTAAAAATACCATGGCTTGAATCAGCCATACCTTAGTCCTCAAACTGACATCTTTGTAACACTTTAGAGAGGTCTTGTGCAGCAGATTTACAAAACGCAGTATTTCGTTTTATCTTTTGAATGCTGCTTCCATCAGTGTTGATGGTTGATCCAAGCAAAGTGAAGTCTTTGACAACTACAAGCTTTTCTCCATTGATATGGATATTGTTTATTGCAGTAAAGCAATGTAAGTAGAGAGGTCTGTAAGGGAACAGTAACACTAGGAAGGTACAAGCTCCTTAGAATAATATCATTGGAGAGCTAAAAACAACTCTGGTGGTGCCATGGGATAAGCACGGGGCTGCTAATAGCTAGGTCAGTAGTCCAAACCCACCAGCTTCTCTGAGGATGAAAAATGATACTGTCTGCTTCTGTAAAGATTTGTTGTTGCTATTAGGTGCCATCGAGTTGGTACCAACTCATAGCGACCTTATGCACAGCAGAACAAAACACTGCCCAATCCTGGGCCAACCTCACTATTGTTGCCACGCTTGAGTCCATCG